ACTTGAACATGTCAAATAAGTCTGTTTCAACCTTCATATTTTAATTCTCACTCCAGTTAAATGGAAAAAGGTAAGCTCCACTAAATACAGTGGAACTCATTTCACTTCCAAGTAAACATTCATAAAAACATGCTGTTAGTGTGGATTTCATCTCTGACCTGACCCAGGAATGGGAATACCATTGTAAGAAAATGCATGCTTTGGTAACCCTGGAATCATTCTCTACCCTAACTTCCTGAGATTGAAATGCTAGGAAAAAAAATAGAAAAGAAAAATGTCCCATATATGTAGAATATTTTGAAATCACAACATGTCCTGCAGTTTCATAAACTATATTTGCTATATAGTTTAGTTTATTGTTAGGATTAAAAACAACAAACTTTACTAATCCTCTGCTTAAATGAAAAATAAGCATTATCTACAGCTAGCTAATTGTGAATGACCTTGTCATAAAGGGAAATTCTCTGAAGAACAATTCAATATTGCCTTTATTGTGTTTAATTTAAAACAACAAGTGTATTTGAAGAAAATATAGCTACTACTTCTAAGATTCTGAAACAATGCAACACCAAACTGCACGCTAACACAACCTATAGGCCACAATCAATTTACTTTACAGTAATTCTGGAAGAATCAATGAGACAACTCTAGCATTTGTGGGCAGCGGACTGCAGCATTAGTACGTGAAGCAATGAAGAACAGAGACGAAGAGAAAGGGGGAGCAAGCTACTCCGCATGGGTGGGGTGACTGTATGTTTTACCATAACTCGATCAATAAAAGGGGACTTTAGGAGTATTTCTCACCATTCACGTGGGACCAATATATGAACATGTATGTATCCGTCCCACATTTATATATGCAAAAAAGCCAACTGCATTCAATGGCACTTAAAATGTAAGAAAGGCACAAGCCAGCATCAAACATTTTTCCCGGAACGTCGCACTCACTTCTGCGAGCTCCTTGAAGAGGGATTTAGTGCCCCAAACGAGCAAGCACACAGAGACCCTGGTCATACAGAACGTTCTCTAAGATCCCGGCCAAGCAGTCAGGGATGGCGATGTCACAGACACCCCCGTCCTACTGTTTTCTCCAGGGCATGCGCACACACACACACACACACACACAATGGGAGGCAGTGGTGTTGTGGTCAGTATTGGACAGGAACTGGGAAGACCCAGGTTCTAGTCCTCATTTCGGCTATGATGCTCCCTGGGCGACCATGGGCCACTCACCAGCTCTCAGACTAAGCTATCACAGGGTGGCTGTGAGGGCAAAGGGCGGACAGGGAGAATCAGGTAATCTGCCTTGGGCTTCCTGGAGAAAAAGGGCGGGATGCAGATGCCATGAGTAAATGAAGTCAGAATGGCACACTGCCAAAATCCACATGGGGAAGATAGGAATGAGCGCATAACAAAACTGGGGGAAGCCTTTAATTTTTGCCTGCAAATGTAGAAGACCCCTGCTGTCGATAGCTGGAGCTGGCTGATATGGACTTGGGCAAAGAGGGCATCTTATTATTCGCTTCTTTTTACTTAAGTTAATAATTGCAGACTTGCAGCAGTTTTGCAGCTGTTCCCTGGTGATTCAGCTGATGATTCTGGGAACAAGTGCCTGCACTTCTTCATCTCCCTAGAAGATGAAGAAATTGGCTACAAGTTGTATCAGGCTCAACCGCCTCCCTGACTAACTTTTGCGCTGACAGATGTTAGCAAGATGATTCTCATTAGCTGGGAGATGAGTATTGACAGATTCTGTATCAGAATCTGAGGAGCTGCTTTGAAAACCACTATATGCATGCGAGTAATGTTGGGGCATACATATTCCACTTTAGATTTTTTCCCCCTGAGAATCCCTACATTTCCCTACCCATTTTTGCAATGGAAACAAGTGGCAAAATTGTGCTCTTTGGCTCTAAAAAAGAAACTGCAGGAAATGCATGGTTTCAAAATTCACATGGAAAAATCCTACATTGATGCTAGAGATAAAGGTTTAGGGTAATGAATACAGCTGTTAATCACGCAATCACAGAGTGACGCTTTACAGATAAAAATATGCCAGGCCAAAGGAGTGCATCTAGAACTCCTGCCTTCATGGACGTAATCTTTATTTCTGACTCACTTCTAAATAATGCAAGGCAAGGCAAAAAATAATAATAATTTAAACACAGAGAGCCTTTTCCAACAAAAAACAAATACTTCCGATAATGACTTATCAAGAATGAATCCTTATATTCAAATAGTCACTTTCCAGGTGACAAAGCCTGAGTTCACACAGCATGACAGCTCACATTTAAGGCTTGAGTCAGGACTGTCACTGAAACATAAGTTATTGGCAAACCATGGATTTTTGTGCTATCTGAACTCAGGTGCAAAAAAATTCACAGTTCTCCTCAAAACAACAAACCAGGGGTCCTGTTTGTGGGTTATTTGTGAGTAACAAACCATGGTTTGTTGGCCCAGCTGGGTTTACACAACATAACAAGCCACAGTCCAACAATGATCCACACTCAATCCAATGATCCACACTCAATTAAGGATAGGCTGCTGTGTGGTGTAAACCCAGCTAATGGCCTCTTTTGTTCTAGGCAAGTCACACTCAACCAATACTCAACTTTAGCGGTCTGCTGTGTCATGTGAACTCAGACAACGGCCTTTTCCATTCCATGCAATGAACAACCACGTGGAGGGGGACACTGACCCCTCTCCCTTCTCCCCACTGTCCGTGTATTGGAGAAACTTCTGTAAGAGAAACTGGCTGTATATGCATAGGTGCCTCTTGCATGTGAAACCCTGCTAATGCAGCATTTCAAATCAAGCGGAAAGACTTGGTGCAGTCACAGCGGGCTTTCCTCTACCAACATCCTTCACTCCAGTGATGGGGAGAAAGGGAGCTGAGACAGGCAAAGTGCTTCCACTCTTCCCTTCCACATCGTTGTTCAATGGATAAAGCGAATACCTACTAGAGTTTGTGCATGTCGTAATCAATTATACCATCCTGGGAGAAGTGTGTACAACAAAACAGGTTGGTTTATAAAACAAACTAACTAACTAACTAACGAAACACCCAATGTTGCATGCCAAGTTTTCACATTAAATTTTTTTCCCATCTTCCCTTAATACCCATGATCAGGAGCAGCTGTGTGAACTGCACACAGAAGAAGCCTGGGGCTAGTTCTTCTCTCAGAATAGATTATGCAAAGATGGTTAATTAAAATAGAGCCTCTTTCCATAATTTATCCTGGTCCCCAAACTCTGGTTTTTCAAAAGCATTACAATATTTCTGGCAAGAGCTGAGGTGGAACTGGACAAGAAACCAGGGGAACAATGGGAAGGAAGGAGAACGATGTTAAAAAGGAGATTCTCAAGAAGTTGTATGCTGTGCTGGATGTTGCCTTTGGGCGTGTAAGTTCACCTACTCTCCTGTCTATACTGTTTTAGTGCAGTACTTTGACTCTATGTATCAATAGCGGAAGAGCTGGAATATTAGTAAAAGGCTATGAATATGGAGCAGAAATTTTACTCCAGTCGAGGAACAGAAAAAATGTCATGCAAGATACACTTGAAGGACAGAGATAGCAATTACAAGTACTTAGCATACTCCATGTGTATCTGAATACGTCTGCCTCTGGGTTCTGTTCATTCCCCCAGAACCCAGAGGGAGGAAAGTGTGTTGTAGAACACACTTCAAACAGGCAGAAAAGCTACAGAGACAAGAAGTAACTGTACTCTTTTCCAAGGGTACACAGCACACTGGGGGAAAAAACATAATGATAAGCCATTCCTTAGATTGTTCAATCTCAGACCCTTTTGATAGCACTGACAAACACTTCTGAAACCTTAATGTTTTTCACATAGATTAAAAATAAAAAAACTTACCGTCCATATTCCCTGTAAATTCTGTGATACGAAAAAGTTAGAAGGGAAGGAATTTGTGCAATGAAAGCACAATGAATGCGTCAACACAGACAGCTTTGTCTCCTGTGAAGAATGTTCTAATAATTTTTTAAACTCTAGGAATTACATACCTGTTGGAATGAATGTCGCATGCTGTTGCAGCTGCGCACTAGCAAGAGCCTGTTGGTAGTGCAAGAAACCGGGATTAAAAACAGGACTGGCACCATTGCTTTTCTCAAGTGCTTGTCTCTTTGGTAAAGGATGAAGTACACCAGGAGGAAAGGCCTGTAAATGGGGGGGGGGGGGGAGAATAACATGGATGATCATTCTTATACTAGCTTGTCCTATGGTTAAAACATTACAATTTTAATAGCTGAAGATGCCTTGCCATGCACATTAGTTCAAAACAGCAACGATGTCAAATGGATGGCTTTTGGATTTGTTATTGATAGTAAATGCATGGCACAATTAAACTAAAATTTTAGCATCGCAATCAGTAAACTGAAACAAAAGGGGGAAAGCTTTTCAAAACAAAAGGGAATTAACAAAGAAATTATCTAAATACAACTAAAATAAAACTGCACTTGCATTTCACTGCATTAAAAATGATCTCTGTTTTGTTAGCTATATTAATTAGCACAAAATAAGCAACTTCAATGACCAAAACAGGATTCTTCTCACTTTATCTTTTAAGTAAATCTATTGATGATAAAACCTTGTTAGGAAAGAAGTTAAGCTGCTTTGCAATAACTACATGTGAAAATGAGATGGCTACATACTGAAATTATTTTTGTAAAATTAATAATACAGTTCAGTTAACATTAAAAATCATTGCATCTTGGAAAAGCTACATGCAAAGCAAAAGGTGAAAGGTCAAAGTACCAGGTCTACAGTTGCTTCGAGAGGTCGCTTCATTGCTTTGGCAGTCGACTGAGTCTTTTAATAACAGGCAGCGAGCACATGATGGCAGTGGGCCAATGGGATTCAAGCGAATTAACATACAGGTAAACAGCAAGCAGAGGTGCATCATGGGAACGGCATTGCATTGTGGATAGGTGAGAAGGAAAAAAATATTCTGAATGCAATATACAACATACAGAACACTAGGCATGCACAACAACAAAAATGTTTTGTTTTCTAAAGAGATGAGTATTACACCTTGAATTAGTACTGAAGCAAAAATGCATCTACTATACCTTAGTTAAAAGCATATAAAAGAGTAAAATATAGATGTTTGAAATTTAGGAAAGTTGAATAAACAGCAGCTTGCAGACACCATTAAGCATTTATAAGCACCAGTAAGCATTTATGCTACATAAGAAAGCATAGTTATTTCAGGGGGTTTCCTAAATGAATTTTTGATAAGTTAGTAATGCCATGCTTAAAAGCATTGTTTCTAGACACTAACATTCTACACCAGTTTGTTTTAGTTACCATCACAGAACAGCCAATTGTTCTAAACCAGTGAAGCCTCTTTGAACAATTTAATAAAATGAGTGCATCATGTTAACTAGAAACATATCTTCCGTTCGGAAAATGCAAATAGGAATATGATTAAACTGAACTTCTCTTTCCTTTTTAGATGTATTTAGTAAATATTATTTCTGATCACTAACTTATCATCAAATTCAGCATGGGACTTGGTTTTGGGTTTTTTGTTTTGCTATGCTGGGAACAACAGCTTCAGGTTCTTTCATTGAACTTACCGCATTAAGTAGAGAAAAACTGCACATTATTTCTAATTAAGCATTTCATTTGACTAACGAGTAAGTTGTTTCATTTCTGATCAGAACAGAAATCTTAACAGAAACCCTGCTCTGTGTGATTTACAAAAGTATAAAAAGTTGCCTTACGCCAGAGCAGATTGTTGGTTTATCCGGTTTGGTTTGTCTAGCCTCTATATAGCAATGGCCTTCCAGAATCTCAGGCAGATTCTTTCCCAGCCCTGCTGTCAGATACAGCCTTTACCTGGAGATGCCAGTGATTAAACTGGACACCTTTAGTTATCCATACTTTGGCGTAACTAAGAGTGATAGCTGGATTACATCACAAAATGGGTAGGGATCAACTCACCATTCCTTTTTTCATGTGGAGTTTTTCTACTTAGAAAACAGTTTAATATATATCAACTATAAACACTCAGCACAATAGGTTTCTCCTCAGGAGACTTCAAGGTTTAGGGTCACATTTTCTTGCTTGGGAAAAGGAGTTCACCCAATCCTTGCAGCACTGCCAGTGCACATCCCGCTAATGGAACCAAAAAGGTCTCCAACTGTTTTGAAAGAGTGGCCAAAATTTGGAATTTTGGAAGCATGTTGTGGGTGCTCTCACAAAATGGCTCCATGAGAAAGTCTTGCCCATTTACAAAATGGCTGCCATTGTAGTCTTGACCAAATAGAAAACACCCATTTACCAGAAGGCGTATTGGTGCGGTTAAAATAAATACAAGACAGAGGTGGGATCTGAGTTCCAAAACATAAAAGGATTCTTTTGAGTGCATAGTTTCATGCTCTAACAACTATTCACAGATGGGAAATTAAGGAGGTTCACAGACAATTAGCTTGGCCAAGTAACTGAGTACAAGGTACCGGGGGACTCTGTACTATGTCTAAGGGAACTCACTCTCAGACGAGTGTGAATAGGATTACAGGGTATTCATAACTTTCGGTGCCTTTTGCACCTGGTTCTTGAGACCATGCTCTGAAGTGCCAGAGACCGCAGCATGGCCTCCATGCGATTCTGCAGCCATACCATGCCAGACAGCAGCCTGCTTCACTTACAGACCTTCGAGGGTCATGACAGCTTACCCTTAACCATTCCGTGTTCTTGGCAAGCAGAGCATTCAACACGCTCACAATAATCCTTGTGAAGGTTTGTTCCAGGTTAGATTCTAGACATATATAGATTAATGGGAACACTGGAATCCAGCTTATCTGGAAGTTAATTTATGCACAAATTGGACTAAATGTAATTTTAAAATTATTCATGACAAAAAGGAATTACATTCTACTGCTTTAGGCTTTTCCTGCTGGCAGTAACTGCCCTTATCTAGTAAGGCAGTTCTGTGAATAGGGGTAAGCAGTCCAAGCAGGTAAAGCACGTAATTTTGACACACATCTGCTTTTGTATTTATTTACTTACTTGATTTATATTCCACCATTTTTCTTAGAACTCAAAGTGGCTTACATCATTTTCCTCCTTCCGCTCTCAGTCTTATCCCTACAACAACCACTCTGTGAGATACGTTGGGCTGAGAGTCTGTGACTGGCCCAAAGTCACCCAGCTGACCCAGACGACCTGAGACCCAGTCGCGTACTCTTAATCACCACACCACACCGACTCCTGTATTCCTGTGCTCTTCTGAGACTTACTGAAATGGACTGAGATATTTTTAATAAAGGTGAATGCATAACCCATGTCACTAATTTGTTGCAAATGACGACACACAGACAAGAATTAGAAAAGGGGATGATGACAAATGAAACTTTGAAGAGAGTGAATTTGGTGGGGCTGAAAGTGGTTCCCAATCAAAAACAGAATTCTGCCCTTACCTGAAGAAGAAAAGCAAAGCATTTCTAGAATCATAATGGCCTATTCTTGGGAATATAAATGGAAAGTAACTGCTATTCCTTCCTCTTTAAATGTTCTGTTTGTTCACTGCTGGAGAGAAGATCATATCTAGTGGAGGGATGCATCCTGGACTAGGAAGCATCTGTCCCCTGCCCCTTCAAACAGGTGTAGGGAACAATCTTATGCAAGGGTGGTTGGAAAGGAAATGCCTACAATTCCTATCATGCCCCAGTATGAATCTGGGAGTTGCAGGCCTTCTCTCTAAATTAGCACAGGATTGCACCATTAGTCTTCAACCTTGAAATGGGTCTATTTACTTGATACAGAGTATACATGGGCCTTCACAGCAGGTTGCCCTTCCTTGGGTAAATTCTGTACTGTTCTGTGTTTCTGGAAGCCATCTGATATTGACACCAGCTGTATTGTCTGTATCTACTACATACAATAACAAGTCACATTTGTTTACTTTCTTGTACAGTGCCAGAAATTAGAACAATGCTTCTCTGATATGTGTGCTGAGCACACTTATCTTCTTGAGATGGAAACTTTTGTTTATTTTATTGAACCCCACAGATACAAATTTGCTACCATCAGCCAGTATGGTATGACAGTTGTATCAAAAATACATCTTTCAATGCATTCCAGAATTAATGAAACAAAATCTGTAGACACAATCACTTCTTTTAGTGCTTCCTGACACTCTTAAGCAGCACTACAGGTTGCGATGCTGATTAATTTTCCATGTTGAGGTGACTGCTTTTAGCTTGGCTTTTAAGTATCACTGCAATGCCATGAAATATTTCATGGCAATATCAGAAGCCTAAATGTGCAGGCACAAGCCCTTCTATGCACTTATAGATGCTCTTAGAATGGCATCAAACTGTCACAATAAGTCAATAAATAAAGCAATTCAACAACCACGAGAGGTAAACAATTGTTCTTTTTGCATTTAACTATTAAGAAAAATGAAGGTCAACAATTTACAACATCATTGTGATATATCACTGATATAGCAAGGCCATCAAAATCTGTCAGTTTGGGAATGTGAGGCTGATCTTTAAAATGTTCCGACACAGCTCACCACATTCTTATTTAGCCTTAGGGTGATTTGCAGCATAATGTAAACTTACAACATTTCAAAAAAGTGAAACATTTATCCACTGAAATACAACCATACCATAAAAGAATTAATCATCAGCCATGTCCACAAACAATTCAACCGATGCATTAAAAGTCCATCATATACTATCAAATGCCTGGAACTAAAGAAAACATGAAGGCACCCGAGATGACTGCACTAGTACCAGGAAGGGTATCGCCATCCTCCAAACCTCGCTTGGAAGACACGTTGATCCTAAGACACAAGTAGGTTCTTATGAAGAGAGGCTCTCCATCAGGAATTGTATTCTCAAGTTGTAGAGGTTTTATATGTTAAAACCAGCATTGCTGGGCTCTGAAACACTTTGACAGCCAGTGCAAGCAGGCCATAACTGTTGTTACATGTTTGGACCTTCTGGTCCCCATTATCTAGCATTTGCCAAGTCATCTTCAAAGCTAACCCTATGCAGAATGTGTCACGGTAATCTTACCTGGAAGTTGGCACAGGCTACTGAAGCCAGGTTACCCCTGTCCAGAATGACCAAAGCAGGGCCAACAGCTCAAGCTGACCGAAGGCACTCTGCGTCACTGAAGCCATCAGTAACTTAGTGACAGTGATGACTCCAGAAAAAGGCCCAAGCTATGCAACCCCAACACTGCTTCTTTAGGGGGAAGTGTAACAGCACCCAGGAGAGGGGGAACAGTATTCATCTGTCATAAGAGCTATGCCACAGCAGAGCAGTCTTGTCTGGACTGAGTCCACTGTCACAGCCAGGCACTGCAGATGCTAAACAGCATTGGAGACAAAATTCTGAACCCCATGGAACCCAATACCGAAGAATCCATGCCATCAAGCAACATGCCCCAAGCCCTAGCACCTGCAGTGGACCATCCAAACAGAAGCAAAAGCTATTGCAATGAAGTATTCCCATATCTTGCTCAGACAGTTGCCCCCTAAGGATATCATAGCTGATGGTGTCAAAAGTCACTGAGAGATGCAGTATGATCAACAGGTTCATACTACCCCTGACACAGGTTATCACACAGAATGAGCAAGGCCATTTTCATGACTAAACTGAGCCTAAAACATGGCAGAAATGAACAGAAAGAATCCTCCTCATCCAAGAGCACCTGAAGCTGGTTGGCAACCACCTACTGAAGGACCTCGTCTGGGAAAAGGAAACTTGTCACTGGCTGAAAGTTACTGAGATGTTCCAGCTGCAGGAACAATTCCTTCGGAAATAGCATTGCATCTTTTAAGCAGTCCAGAAAGACTCCCTTTGACAAAGAGGCATTAATCACCCCCCTGGCCTAGATGACTGTTTCTTCCCTGCCAGTTTTAGTAAGCCATGGAGAGAAAAGGCCCAGTATGAAGGTGGCTTTATGAAGCACCATGTCAACATCCTTGAGTTGTACCAACTGAAAGTTACAGCACTGCATTCTGAATACCACACCTGATTACCTTGCTGTAACAATCGACTCTAAACCCCAGCAAATGCAAGGTATTTTATCTTGGATGTGCCTCACATGCATGTCGCAGTGGACATCTGATGGTACCATAATCTCCTTAGGGCCAGCATGTAAGCCCCAAATGGAAAAAAAAAAAAATCTGCTGGACGGGATAGAAAGGATGCAACAGAGAAGAAATAACATTTCTTCAACCACATTTTCTGTCCTTGAGCAAGCTTAAATATGGGCACACACCATGTCCCGTTGCGTTTGTTAGGAGCTTTTCTCTGCCTATGCTCAAGCAGTCTCCATGGGTCTTTATGAACTTTGCCCGTCCAGAGAAGGTGCTCATGACCAAGTATCCTTATTGTAGTAAGGATACTTGGTCCAAGTATCCAGGTTGTTTCTGCATTCCACAGATGGACCAGTGCTTTGACTGGAGACCCAGCCAGAACACGCATACCCAGAGCCCCCAGGAAGTCATTCAGATCCTTTACCTTCTGGGGGTAGCCCATCTTAAGAGACCCCCTTGCACAGGGGAAAGTGAGGCTAATCCTTAACATGCAATGATCTGAGCACGACAGAGGAACCAATTCAATCTCTTAAGATCTCTTAATAGGCTCCCCACTTTCTCCATGACTAGCTGAAATAGCAAGACATGCTATATGTGTTCGACGGAAGCCCTGCTGGGACAATCCCACAGTTGACATGAAGTTCACAAAGAGCTGAACACGCCAAACAAGTGCCCTCCACATGAACTGTGATGTCCTCCGGCGCCCACACCCTGGGATCCTCAAAAGCACATCCCAGGCTGCAGAGCCTGCTGAGCAATGGGGCGGCCAGTTAAATCACCAACCTATCTCGCTGGGCAAAGACTCTAGACTAGTAGTCAGGAAGACAGAGAGCCTGGGGAGAGGGAGAGGGGGAATGAGAGAGAGACCGAGCACACGCAAGAGAGAAAGCGTGTGTGAGGAAGTGAGAGGTCTGAGGGCAGGCTGACAGGGCAAGCAGCAAGCCTCAAGTGGGAGAAAAGGGCTGAAGTATGACACAGGTATGGACTTCTTTCTGCCTAGTTAGTCCTCCTCACAATCTCACTCCTCCCCCTACCCAGATCCACACAAATTAGCCCCCTCCAATGCCATCCCTGTAAGAGGTTTTACCATGTCACATGCATATCAAATTAACTCTGTGAATGAATCCATTGCATACATAAAACTATGAGAGGCTAAAGGAGAATTAAGGATTCTAGAGTCTTTAATCCTCAACTTAACAGGCACATGTATAAATAAAACTATTCTTCTCTTCTTTCTCCCTAACCGTCCCTTTCAGATACTCCTGTCACTAGCAAAACAGAAGCTGCATTAACGGGGATTTCCGTACAGTCACGGCCACATTGCATGTCTCAGAAGGTGCAACGCCAGTGTCGATGCCTGTATGCAGCTAGCAGAGCAGTGACCTGTGCTCCAAATCATCCAAATCCTTTAACGGTCAGAACTGGAGGGGCAGTTGCCACGTGGGTACCTACGCTCCTGAGAGATACCTACTGTGCTGAAGTTATTAAATGAAAAAGGCATGTCGGATTGCTGAATTGATCTGCGCTACAAAATTAACAGAAAACCATATTTGAGAGCAGGATTTGAGCTAAATTACACTCTTAAGCAAGGCTAGCTTCACAAAAGCAGAGATTCCACAGTCCTGCATTCTGACACTTACCATCACCGTAGCAGCTGCAGCGGCTGCCTGAGCTGCCATTGCAGCCTGGTTGGCCTGGTGCTGAGCAGCTTTGATTTTGGCCTGCAAGTGAGCAGGAGGGTGAAAATATTTGCATTTCTCCCTCATGCAGCGCCCTTTTATGTAATCCATGCAAACAGTCACGGTGTTGTCATTTGTGTCAATCATTGTGCTGTCTGCGGGATGTGCAAAGCGGCAGTCGGTTTCGCCCCGTGCACAGTTTCCTCGCTGGAACTCCCTGCAAACCTGGTGCGCAAAACAGGACTCGTTATGCATGCCGATCCACGCACGAGGGGTTGGGCAATTACACACAAAACGAAAGCAGAAATTTAAACACGTAATTTTTGCGGGCAAATGAGTTAGAACATTTTAAATCCTACCAATACTTGGGTTGGCCACCTCCCAAATGTTTTGACCTACAACTCCCATAATCCCTCATGCTGGGTGGAGATGGTGGGCGTTCTAGGCCAAAACAGCAAGAGGTCACATACCTGCTTTAACCCGCACCCGTATGATGGTCCATGCTTCTGATTCTGCATCTCTACACACATTTGCATGCTCTCTGCAAATTCGTTCCCCTCCCACTGACTTTATCTGTTTGCCCTTCCTCTCCCCAAATCATAGTGATCAATCATCTAAAAGAAGGCAGAACCCACAAGCTCAAATTGTCTTTCTTTTCTCTTGAAGAGTCTTCGAGACATTCAGGGAACTGGGTTTTTAACCATTCAGGGTAATTTAACCATTGCACACAAATTTCAAGTCTACTTGACACTGCCTAAATATGGCTCAAAACCCAATAATTTTGATGCATCTTCAGAAACCTAAGTGAATCCCCTTTTATGGCTCTTTGTCAACGGTAGAGTCAGTCAGAAATGGGTGGCACGCAAAGGGAAAAGGCAAGTCTTGCTCTCCTTTACCATCCACACAACAGCACTACAGACTAACATCCAGAAGAGAACCAACCACGAAGCCATCCCTTCCTGCTGCACGTTGTCCCATGACCTGTTCAAAGTACTCCTATCACTTCTGAGAACCACTCGGCACTTGTTCTCAGGTGTTCTGAAAACAATCAGGTTTTCCAGAAGATGTTGATTCTGAAACTGATTTGGGAATGAGACATACAAACAATTCTGCATGTTTAATTCCCAGTAGGCCTACAGTTAGCCAAAGCACATTATTATTATTATTACTACTTCTACTATTACTATACTACATTTGTATCTCAACTTTCTTCCTCTTGCAAGGAACCCAAGGTGGCCCTCCTCTCCATTTTATCCTCACAACAACCCTGTGAGGCAGGTTAGGCTGAGAGTCAGTGTAGCCCAAAGTCACCTCATGAGCTTCATGGACAAGCAGGGACTAAAACATGGGTTTCTAAATTCCCTGTCCAACATTCTTAGCCACTACCCCAAGATTTACTGTTTTTAGTAGGTCCTTTGAATTTAATACATCCAGTCCAATATATTCTCAGAGTCACCGCACTAACAATCATGCATCACTTCTATACTTGTGTTAGTGCAGCACAGAATACCTGCAATACCTACTCTCTGTAGTAACTAAGGTTATGTAGCTGCATCACCACACTAAAAATAGTAATACTTTGTTTGTAATTCTTTCACGAGACAGTTCAAAGAACTATATGTAGCAACATAAACAGCGTTCATCTTACCTCCAGTTTATCTGTCCTGAGGAGCTTCTGCGTTGGAGTTGACCCAGGTACTGTGACAGGGGGACTTCCTGGAACAATGACTGGTGGTGTGGGAACAATTTCAGTAGGAACTAATCCCACACCAGGAGTGACAGGTGTTAAATATGGTGCAAAGCTTAGTGCTGTGTTGGATCCTATTGTTGGCCCTACAGGAAATGAGGGCTGAAAAAAGAAAACAGAGAGAAATGAAAACAAACACGGTGACCCAGATGTATTACTCTACAGGTGAAAACACAATAAATGTTGAGTTTTGTTCATACTACTCTACATTATGTGTGGCATTTCAAAGAAAAGCATTTATCTTGTTTGTTTATAAATCTAGGACTGCCTATATGCCAACAGTATCCACCACCAGTGCAACCAGAAGGCAGTGTTTCTTAAAGCAACTGGGAGAAAAAGCAAACAGGTATCATTTCACTGGTCAGTCCTTAAAAAAAAAAAAAGAATTTGAAAGTCACTGTAGGAAGCCTAACGTTAAAAACTAGCATGTTGATGAAGTAACCTCTGTTAAAGGCTTCAGTCTCAACATAAAACCATGGCTTAGCATAGCCAAAATAAATTAGATCCAAACTCACTGTGAAACAGACATTAAAAAGTAACTGTCTCACCATGAGATTTTCTGAAACCATCTTTGTATGGGAGGATGCGTGCCCAGAAAATAAACATAGGGAAAGATACTCAGGCAGCAAGTGGTTGGTAGAACAATTTTAAAAACCTAGCAAAACAGAAAACTAAGAGTATATATATTAATAATTCTTCTGGAAATGTTATTTCTATATACTGTCAAGCTGTCTCTGACTTAAGGCAACCCCAAAGAAAGCCCCGCAAAAGATCCTGGTCAGCCTTGCTCAGCTCTTGCAAACGCAAGGCTGTGGTTTCCTTTATGAGATCAGTCAACCCATCTCATCTTTGGTCTTCCTCTTCATCTGCTGCCTTTGACTTTCCCTCGCAGGATTGTTTTGTCCGGGGAGATTTGCCCTCCTGTGCTGATCTCAAAGTACGAAAGCTTCAGTTCCATCATTTTTGCTTCCAGGGAAAGTTCTGGCTTGCTCATCTGTCTCTCACGAAGCTCTTCCCCAGCACCATATTGTGACTGCATCAATTCCTTACCAGTTCCTGCTTTCACACCCAGACACGCTGAGCAGGAATACAATATTGCTGATAATCTACAAGGCCCTATTTATTCCATCTTCAATCTACAGAACTAATCCATAGTACAATTCATTATATATGATGATATTGCATACTTCCAATAAGAAAGGATTATAACTGCTGTAAGGGAACATTAAGAGATGATCCTACAGCTGCTCTAGTCAAAGGAGTTTATAATTTTTAAAAAAGGTATTCTTCCTCAAGTCATCACAATTCATTCTCTCTTGAAGGAGGATTAACTTAAAAAAAATCCCAGCCCAAGCAGAATACAGAGTGAATGAACCAAGGAAAAGTATTAAAATACAGGTTAAAAACTTAACGTTCTTAAGGTTTTAGCTTGTATAATTTCTGGATTCAATTTACACATTATAGGCTAAAGTTTCAAAGCAGACAAGAGCAAACACATCAATAGCCATGCTCTTAATGAAAATGCAGCCTGTTTAAAATAAAAATAAATATTCTATTATAATCTATATAATCTATTATAATCTATTATAGATTATAGATCTAATCTATAATAGATTATAATCTATTATAATCTATAATATGTAGATTAGTTGTGGTGCTATGAATCACATTGTATCTTTCCCTTTGTAGCCCTAATCATGAATGCAGGCAATCCCCAGGTTACAAACATCCGAGATATGAACAACCTGTACTTACAAATGAACTGCCATGAAGCCTATTAATTTAGAAATTAAATTGCCCTACCCATTTAGAGAGGGAAACCTCTCTGGCATTTCCTAGCTGCAAAGAGGAAGAACTAGAGAGTGGAGGGGGAGGGCTTGTGGTTTTCCCACTTCTGCAGGGGTCCTGTACCCCAAACCCTCTACAAATATGGAGGGTCAACTATACCCAATCCAAGTTGCATACAAATTCAACTTAAAGACAAATTTCCATTTTCTTAGGAACATGTTTGTAACCCCCAGGAATGCCTGTAAACTTCCTCCTCCTTAAAAGTGAATCATCTCAAAACAACTGCAAGAAGTCATAATATATATGGATGTCATTCGTTTCTTGGCTTTTTAAATTCCACCTAGAATATTTTACAACAGCAATACTGTAATATAATTGACAGAGGTGGAAATAATGAAGTGCTCCAAATGCATTTGTCATGTTAGCAGGGGCTAGAATATGAAGGCAGCACAGGCTGTCATTTTGTAAAGGTACTTACCATTGGCTGAAGGGGTGTTCCTGGGAACATAAATTGCATTTGCTGTGCAAGCATCGCTGCTGCGGTTTTCTGTTGGATCAGGTTGTTCCTACCATTAATTTCTAGCTGAGTTTTCAAATGTGTTGGTGGATGAAGATATTTGCAGTTCTCCCTTGTGCAACGGCCCTGAAAAATGTTACAACATTACCCACTTCTGGAGAATTTACAATAGTCTGGTCTCAGAAGAAAAAATATTAATCAGAAAAGCACTACGAAGGCTGAGCATCTCACAGAAACCAAATGGCCTGAAAAACACTGCTTTTGTTGGCTTTTCTCCAAGGCATGGCATCCCTATTCTAATCATATTAAACATTCCATTGAAAATCTATGGGGTATTTCCACATACAGTGTTCATCATTAGCTGACTTACAAAATAATACTTCTGCCATTAAGGGCAGCCTGGTGGTGCACTGCATGAAACTCCCAGTGGAAGAGAAAGATAACAGAGTAGTTAGGAGCAGCACTTCTACACAAAAGTGTTCTTAGGCACACCCTGGCCCTTTCCCAATGGCACTCCATAACCTATGCCTACTGAGGCTTAGTGACAACAAAACTGCATTTCTCCAATCCATTCCAAGGGCTTAAAGAAGGCGGCATCAAAAGCACTACTCCCAAGCTCATCTCAGAAGACATCTCGGAAGAAAAGTGACTGCTCTGCACCACATCTAGCACAAAGAGTATTCCGGCTCCACTGGGGGAATGACCAACATGGGAAGGCTGAATATTGGATTACATGGTAACCTTGCAGAGACCTGGCAGCCACTGGCTCCATGGAGGATCTGACCTGTTCTCCTGTAACAAAGGCCTCCACTAAGCTGAATGAGTGATCTGGGGCCATATTGCAGTTCTCAGAATTTGCAGAATGCAGCTACAAGTAGATTAACTCCCACCAGACAGGGTAGTCTGATCACATTTTAAATTCGCAAGAAAGAGACGAGGTCAGTATAAATCTCTAATTGCAATGATGAGCTGTTTGTCTCCAGGATCACTTCTTCTAATAGGCAGGTATTTATAGAGAAATGAGAAGGATAAACGCAAGGCCGCTTAAAGAGGCTTCAAGGGCTCTGGGTATCCTTCCACTGTGAGGAACAAAAGATATTCTCCTTGGGTTCATCTCCCGGGACCAGTCAGCCTCAAGCCATTCTCCTCATGTTCCCTATTCAGCAGATGGAAATGGACAGCCAGTCATCCACATTTTTGGATATTTATGAATGGTATACCAGTGATGTGTTCCAAGTCCTTTACTCTAAGTCTCAGGTCAAGTCCCAACTCTTTACTTTCAAGTCCAAGTAAAATCTCAAGTCACTGCAAGAAATTTTGAGGCAAGTCTCATGTCTCCTCTGAAGTCTCAAGAGCCAACTTTAACAGAGAAGAGGAAGGTGGTGGTGGGGGGGGGGGGTGTGAAAGAGCTGTCACCTCCCCCCACTGATGCTCCCATCTGCACTTCTCTTAGTGATGCACTGAAGTCTTTTACTTCAACGATGATTTAGTTAAACCAGCGCTCCCCAACCTTGTGCCTTCCAGACACGTTTGGACTGGGATATCCAGAATTCCCAGTCAATGGCCATGCTGGAATGGAATTCTGGAGTGGCAGTCCAAACACTTCTGACAGCCATCAGGTTGGGGAAGGCTGGTTTAAACAAATGAGTAAAATCCTTATCCAGCCCCGACCCCTCTGAAACCCGCTGAAACCCGCTCCCTCCCACCACCTTGGGTATGCTTGTGTAAGGCTTCTGGGATATCCTGCCACACAGTAAGCCCTGCAGTGAGTCGACCATAAAAGACGTACAAATCTCGAGTGACTTGCTCATTGCTCCCGGGTCAAGTTGTTGACGTGATCTGAGGCAGCCCTGGGAACCCGCTGCTGAGTACCCAGCACTGCGATATACCGTATTTCCATCCAAACTTAACACATCAGTTCTCTTTCTCCTTTCCATTCGCACTACAGTCACAGCTTCATCATGTGATATCAAAGAACTATTTAATGTGTTGTCATCAGAGTAAATGAATATACTGATGATTAGTATCAGGTTTCCAATTCATTTATTTCCTGAAACAGAGTGCATAATAATTGGCTGAACTAACAATTAAAACATACCACTTTGTTGACAAACGGACCCTTTATACTACTTAGGAGCAAAATCCAATGCCTTCAGCCACAAACAATTGAAATGTACCTCAAGACAGGATAATGACTGTAAAACTAAGGATTTCTGTTTCTCGTGTGGCACACACAAGGATATTCAGCATGAGCATTTCATTGAAAATGACTGAAGATGAACGTTTCAGACGCAAAGGTTTGGAGTTACTGGAAAGAACAGTGCTTTTTCATGAGATGAAGACGAAACGTCTACGGCATCTTAATGCATAGGCTAAACAGACAAACGCCAAGTCCTCCACCTAGGAAAATGAAACCAAATGCAATCAATACAAGACTGGGAATATGTGGCTTAACAGAATGGAAAAGGAAAAAGACCTTGGCGATAGTGTGGACAACAGACTAAATATGAGCAAACAATATGACGCTACAAAGAGGAAGATCATGATCAATGATACCAGGACATGGAATAATCAACTCAAGTTGTGACAACTCAGATTCAGGCCAGATATCAGGAAAAATTTCCTCACTGTCAGAGCAACATGACAATGGAACCAGTTGCTTAGAGAGCTTGTGGGCTCTTCCACACTAGACATTCAAAAGGAAACTGGACAGGGATCTGGTGTGAACTGGTGACCTGCAAGGCAGAAGGTTGGTCCCAAAGGCCTTCTTGGCCCCTTCCAACTCTACTGTTCTAGGAACACAGTGACTGCAGGTGGGCTCAAGAGAGCCATGACCAGAACCCTAAATGTGCCTGTCCATAGACACCTCAACAAAGCAAACAATTTTGCATTCCTTTGCTCCTCATGAAATGATGCAAGCAATAAAGCTAGGCAGTCTCTAATTAAACATAGTTATACCATTATCTCCAAAACAAGAAAATATAATTACTCGCTTTCAAACAAGCTAGGTTATTAACTAACTTTTTGTCATGGTTTAATATCATAGTTTAGTCTGAACCTGTAACCATCATTTCTCGCTTTGCATGAAACTGGAATCTTTCAATTGGAATAGAAGCTTTCAGTGACTGGGACAAGAGGAGAAGGAAGGGGTAGATGCTCAGGGAAGAGGTCTATTCAAATCTTAGCTTGATAATCCAAGAACTGATTATCCAAATCAGGCCATTGTGTTTGATGGTGAACAAGGAATTCAGGTTTAAGAGTTTATAAGTACATAGCTTTGTTTGGTTTTATTACTATTAAATTTGGGTTTTTAAACCAGTATTTTTCTTTGATTTTAACAATGTTGTTTTTATGGTGTCGGTATTTATTTTAATGTCCTATTTTATACATTGTTGCAAAGAGTCCAGAGAGCTTGGGCTATGGGGCTGAATAGAGATGAGGATGATGATGATGATATAATCAATTTTCATTCACCTTGAAAAACTGCATCCCATCCTGTATCCAGACCAAAAAGGTTGGCTTCTTCATAAGTATAGAGGGGTTCAATTACTGTGAACTTTTACATTACTGTATAAGATTTTGAAGATTCCTAGTAATCTTTAAAAAGACATTTAATATTTTTTACAACTTGTTTTTGTGTTCAGAACTACCAAGTGTGATTCTAGATTTACTAAGATGGCCCAATAAGTGAAATCCATATGTGTTTAGTATCTGCTACAAATCTTAGCATGGCATTTAATTCACACTAAATACATATATTCAGGATCCCAAGTAACTTTGCAGGGTTATAATAGTGCAATCAGCAAACTTAAAAGTTCCATAGTAATTATAATAAATAAATAATCTTTTAGATATTAAAAATATCAACTTATACAGATTAGGCATATGCTGGAATTGAATCCCTAGAAGGGCTGGGCAAACAATAAGGGTCTTTTTCCTGATTGTTGCAGGTTTATATATGAATGCAACATGAACTAGTTTTTGAGGCTCCAGAGGGGAGAGGAAGGGTCAGTCCTGGAATGGACAAAATACTACAAAAACCAGGTGTCACCCTACTTGGATCTGGCATATGATAGAAGTACTCTGTTACTATCTCAGTCTTGGGATTGCTTGAATAGGTGCAACCTATCTTGTTGCTGCTGTCCAATTCCCTTTTCCCCCTCCCTCTCCACCTCTTTTACCTGGTTTTATCCTTTTAGATTTGATGTTTTAGCCCCATCACCTCTATATGTTATCCTTTTACTAAACTTGTTTTGTTTCCCAAGCGTGGGGCAGTCATGGGCTGAATCCAGTGACTGGTCCAGGGCTCTGAGACCAAGGAAATTCCAGGTGGGATTTTGCCCAGGTGGCTGGGGGAATGGGGAATCCCTGATAGCTGTATAATAAAGAGCTTACTCGAGACCATGACCTGAAGGACAGCAGGCCAAACTTCTGGAACTCAGAAACTAGACAGATGTCAAGCCAAGTGGTGAAATGCAAATGAAAAGTCCATGAAAGATGGTCACTAGAACAGGATGGATGATTAATGCAGTGAGGGATTTACCCAAACCAAGATCCAGCCGCATTTACATATATTTAAGCATTGCTGATTTTAAAAAGGTCTAAAAAGCACTAAACTTTTGATTAACTTACAGTGTGCTCAAGGCAAGGCCTCCATCTTTGCTAGATATATACCAAGGGCCTGATTTCATCAACTGTCTCTGAGCATTACTGTATCATGAACAATATACAGAAGCTTTATTTTATTTGCAGGCTCCATCCTTCATTATCTAGACAGAAAGTGGCCTTTCCAGTAAAGGATGGAAAGCAAATTTCTTGTAAGGTTTTCAAGCAGAGGAATGAGGATCTCGTCATTATAGAGATCTTAAAAAATACATTATCTCATTTTGGGAAGTTAAAAAAGGGATTATCTGAATGCTGAAACTAAAGCTGTTAATAATGCATGAGTTTAGCTTATAAAGTTTACTGAAGAGAAGACAGTATGATGTACATTCCCAGTTTATTGGAGAAGTGATGAAAAACCCATGGGAAAAAAATTAAAAATAAATGAAGACTCTTCATTGCCCAAGTCATTCATTAACAGGAATAAAACAAAGCTTGAGGGTAAAAGGAGACAATGCAGGTTC